CTTCCCCCCTCTCCTCCTGTACTTATTAGTCACGCAATACCCTTTATAATTAACAGATAATTGAAACTGCATATTATATTATATTAATCTATATATTGTATATTTATCTATTTATCTATCTGTATATTTTCATAAAAAAAAATTGTTTAGGAGTTTTTCGTGGAAGATGATTAAATACAAAATTGTGCAAAACTATAGTAATGGAATTGAAATGGAATATAAAAAAGCCACAAACTTATTTTTTAAAATAATTATTGGTCAATTGGTCGGTTTTTTTTTCGACAATGTACTCTTATTCAAAAAGGATAAAAAAGATAAATTTGTTTTTAGTGTGTAAAAAAAAAATTGATTTTTTCAAACATGTATATTTCAAAAAAAAATCAGGCTGATTTTGATATCCCTGATGTTTAATTATTACTTCTGTCCTTTTATTTTATACTTTACAAACTCTGTTACATTAATAGGAATTGGTTTTGTTTCTAATTTCTAAACAGCAAAGTAAAGACCATCCCTACTAGCATCACAAAATAAAAATTTCTTTCTTACTAAATAGATTTGATTTTGGTGCATGGATACATCATCCATCTTTTAACCCCTCCCCTCGCACCCCCAGGAAGCACCTCCACCCTTTCTTCTAACTGAAAAAAATCTGCAGCGCGCATTTTAAATATTTCCCCCGAAAATCCGCAACGCTTACTTTCCTCCGGTTAGTATTGAAAGCCGTTAATTGAGACGTGAACACCTTATACATTCCGTTCTAGCTTGATTTAGAGAGAGGTTGCGTGATTCTTGGAACTCTGAGAGGTTGCGTGACAGAATTTACATCAAGATGTTTTATCTGTAGAAAATATCTGAACTTTTGAAAACATTCTTTTGTTAAAAATTTAACCTCCTTCTAGCCAGGAAATCAGATTCTCAGAAAAGTATTTCATCTTCGAAAATTCATAATATTAAACTTATGTTGAATTTTTTTTTACAAATGTCTAGTTCAAGTAATCTAAGGTCGACATTAAAGAATTTGAGCCGCGGCTTAAATTTGAGACGTGGCTTAAATATTGTTGGTTCCACTGAAAATTGTATTAAATGTTTCAAGATTTAAGCCGGTGCTCAATTGAAACCGGTTTTTGGCGGATTTGAGACGCAGCTCAAATTCATTAAATTCGGACTCTATTATCTTATATTTGCTATGTCAAACTTCGTTCGTTTTCCTCTCTTTTTCTCCATCTATTTGATCCTAAAAACAAACAGAACAAAGTTATATTATTTGTATAACTTCATAACTTTATAGTTCTTCTTTTATATTAACTTTTTACAGTTTCTAGTTAGTTGTACAATCCCTCTCTTTCCGTTTTAGGTAGAAAATATGTATTTTTACTGTTTTTCATTGACGAATATCTTTAAAGTAAATGATTAGTAAACTATTGAAAGAAGTCCATCGCAAAATTTTACTGGCTCTCCAATATTTCTCCTACAGTAGTACAAGAAAATAGGATAATTCTATTCGTCTTCGTTCTGTCTTTTTAGTAAGAAAGGAATTGAGTCTTTACCACAAACTCTGATTTTCTATTTTCAAAATATTTGGAACCCAATATCATAGACCAAAGATATTTTAAACTATAAGGTTAGATCAAATAATCTTAGTTTGAAATATTAAAAGTTTACATTATCAGTGTCCGAATTTAATGAATTTAAGCCGCGTCTCAAATCCCCCAAAAACCTGTTTCAATTGAGCGCGGCTTAATTCTTGAAACATTAAATACAATTTTAAGTGAAACCAATCATATTTGAGCAGCGGCTTAAATTTAAGCCGCGGCTCAAATTCTTTAAATTCGGCCTCAGGTTGAAAATAAACAGGGATTAGAAATTTTGAGTTAGAGAGAATTTGTTTTATTATTTTAAAAAACCGCCAATTTAAACAGAAAAATCTTCGAAAATTTTGGTTTATTGGAGAACACGAAGAATAAATGGCGGCTCAATAAGAACCAATTAGAAACTAAAATTGTTTCTAGAAAGATACAAACAAATGACACTGTTTGCAGATTACCACTGTAACACTTCTCAATAATTATGGTTTCCCTGAATCTCAATGTTCTCTAATGCTCTAATTTCTAACTGTATAATATTGAATGACAAATATTAGTAAGGAATACCCAGGGATTAACGGATTTAACTAAACAATGAAATAACAGATATAATACAAATCCTTTAAATACTCTCCGAGTACTTGGTGTATCCAAGCTCTAACTTAAGTCCAGAGAGGATATAAGTGGATTCTGCGGTTTTGCATAAATGTAACTATTTCTATGCAACTCAGGCAAGCCTGGCTAATTTATTGAAGTGTTTGGCTAGACCTGGATAAATATATTCAGATCTGCATTGTTTGTTTATTGATTCCGCTGCTCCTGCATAATTATGTTTACTCAACCCTCCTACAAACTGATAAGATTATCATCCTGATTTAAAAAGGGAGCAGATTTAGGGTCCCAGGGGGTATTCTGGGAGGAAGGGGTTGGGTTCACAGGAGAAGGGGGGGGGGTGTCAGGATAGAATGGACATTGTACAAGTTGAGTGAGGAGAGGGGAGGGAGCGGGAGGGGTAGTTTGCAAAGAAGGAGGAGAGAAGGAGGAGGAGGTGGGGGGGGGGGGGGGGGGGGGGATTTTAATTTGGAACCTACTGTGAGACAGCTGCATCGTAAATAATCTTAAAGAAAAAACAAGATGAGATCCTGGTTCCAGATTCATGTTCCAAATTCCAGAATTTAGATTCCTTGTTTTATTTTTTAAGCCTCCTGTCTCCTGGCTTCATGTGTTTTTATCAGGTTCCCTCTTTTTGATGAATTTTGGTTTTTAAGAAAAAAAAGGTTGCGTTGACAGGAAAAGTTTTAATTCGTCCCGAGGAGTTTACCACGGAGTAAAATATTGGTAATATGATTTACCAAGGATTAAAGTATCAAGGTTCAGAGTTTACCAGGAGTAAAATATCAAGGGTTAGAGTTTTAAGGAGTAAAATATCAGGGTTTAAAGTTTATAAGGGAATAACATATTAAGGATAGAAGTTTATCAGGGAGTAAAATATAAAGGATTTAAGTTTACCAGGAGTAAACATATTAAGGATAGAAGTTTATCAGGGAGTAAAATATAAAGGATTTAAGTTTACCAGGAGTAAAATATCAAGGATAGAACATACCAGGGAGTAAAATATCAAGGATAGAACATACCAGGGAGTAAAATATAAAGGATAGAACATACCAGGGAATAAAATATCACGTTCAGAATCTTGACAGGGAGTAGAATATCAAGGAATGCAGCTAACCAAGGAGGAACATAGCTTAGCAGGGAATAGAATATCAAGGAACATAGCTTAGAAGGGAGTAAAATATTGAGTAATAGAGCTTAGCAGGGAGTAGAATATCAAGGAATGGAGCTTAGCAGGGACTAGAAAATCAAGGAATGGAGCTAGGCAGGGAGTAGAATAGCAAGGAAGGGAGCTTAGCAGGGAGTAGATGATCAAGGAAGGGAGCTTAGCATGGAGTAAAATATATACTTTTAGACCCATAAGATAAAAAAATGAAGGTTAGCGAGGTATGAATGATGTGTAGAAAAGAAAGATGTGGTTGCCAGGTAAATATGTATATATATATATAGAAGATTGAAGGATAGACAGATAAGAAGATATCAGTGCATGGATAAATAGATGAAATATGGTTGAATAATCAGTGCATGGGTAGATAGATAAATTATGGAGATGAATATTCAATGCATGGACAAAAATAGATGAATTATAGATGAATATTCAGTGCATGAAGAGATAAATGAAATTTGGATGAATATATAGAAGATTGAAGGATAGACCGATAAGGAGGTATAAGGATGGGATAAATAAATAAATTATGGATGAATATTCAGTGCATGGATAGATAGATAAATTATGGATGAATATTCCGTGCATGGATATATAGATGAAATATGGATAAATATTTAGAATGATTACAAATGAACCTATATTGAAATGACAAAACTCTTAATTCTCATGAATCTTATTAAGAATTGAACATTAAACAAATAAATTATGAAAAAAACCATGAATATAATTTTATGAATGACTTGACAGCTAGATAGATAGAGCTATGAAAATCAGACAGTTAGAAAGTGAATCCTACCAAAACAAACCGGGTTCTGAAGACTGGATGAAAAAGCTAATTGAGATGTGATGGGTTGTACATGGGTTGGGTTAAACTCAGGGTTCCATGGTGTGATTTGAATTGATTTCTTTAGTGTAAAGATTTACTGGGCCGTAAACCCTCAACTGCCTAACAAGATTGGTTGTAAAATATAGGATAGGTAGACAAGTATTTACTTGAAATGGTAAAGATATCATATATTGGAGATATTTACTTATATCAGAAATATGTGGAAACTAAATTTACTTGACATGGTAAAGATATCTTTGGATAGAATATGCATATATCAATGTTTAATTCTTGTTTTTCGTCTAAATATATATATATATAAATACAATTGAGCTATTTTGTTTTGAAACTTCTATTTTTCTTGATAACGAGACCGATAAAAGGAATTTTTCTAAAAATTTTTTTGAGATATTCTCTATACAGTGCAACAGGTTAAAATAAAATAATATTTAACAAGACAGCCTTGCCTCAGAACCTAACCATTCTTAATGAGACAGTCTGAACTTTATAACCAGACCAAGGATTCTGGGAAACCCAATTATATTATTTTCTAGAATGAGATTAAATATTAATACGTTTATTTTTGAGTGTTGTGTTTGAACGATGTCTAGATATTTGGAGGGAGGGGTTAGATGAATAGTTCGGAAGGTTCCTACTTTCCGCATAACAGAGGATATAATATAAGCATAAAGATTTTATGATCCATGATGGATCGGTGTTTTCTCCGGGTTCTCTATTGTTCATCTGAGACTAGGTGCCGCATCCTTCTTCTCCTGCAGTAATCATTCCCCAACCTGATGGTTCAACCCACAATAGGAGCTGAGGAGAGAATTGAGTTGTTACCTGTCCAGAATTCCATCTTTCTCCTCCCGACACGTCCCGAACCCGTACACTCGCTCAATTTACAACTTAATCATGCCGTGAGCGGCGCCTCGCCGTTTGAGACCGAGCGTCCGATCCGGGCCGGAGGAGTCCGGTACGGACGCACACAACAGGTCAGTACGTTACTGATATCCAGAGAGAACAGAGCCATCGAAACTTTGTCAAATAAAACCTTTCCAAAATGGAAACCGGGCCTTTATTCAGTGCCATGCAACAGCATTCATATTCCCAAAGAGCCAGCTTGGAATCCTTGTCCACGGATGATATGAGATATCTTCTCATCCTGATGGGAACAATCACGATCATCTCCTTCATCCTGGTCGTCTCCGTCGTCTCTATCCTCATAGCATTCATCTGGTGAGTTGTGTTTAATATTTTCACAACATGGTTTCCTTAATCTTTTTGTTGTTAAGGGAATAGTTTATTTGGACATATTGTGTTGTAAGCCCGGGGCCCGGGGGTATAATTGTGGAACCAATATCTATGTTTGCACATTTTCTCAGATATTGGAGAGAGAGAGAGAGAAACATTTAGAGTTGGGAGAGTTTATAAATATTTAATGTATTTACCCGACCTGTCTATCACTGGAATCAATAACCAATACAGAATACAAAATTCATCAAATATTTGGTTTTCAGTTTACCAAATATTTTCATGAAATACTATGTTTTAGAAACAATAACAGGGTCTATCGGAATTATTTCCAACTAAATTTTAGATATTTTCAGTTTCTGTGGTGATATTTGTACTTTTATTAGGAATAGAAATTAGAATATGATTAGAATATTATTCTAATTAGCATATTTTTTAAAGAAATTCATAAAAATGTATTAATTGTTAAATAAAAAGATAATAATAATATTTTTTTCAGGTATACCAGAAGACGTTTCAACAATTTGAAGTGCAGTTGCAACAAGGGGCGTAACCAACAAACTGTTGAGAGTGGGCGTGGTTATTCAATGCCCAGTATGCCTGAGTGTGGGCGTATACACGGCGTGAGTAGTATTCATGAGAAAGAGATAAACCAGTATAATTATCCAACTGTCAGACAGTCGTCTCAATTACCCCGAGTTCAGGGACTAGGATCAGGTCAAACTATCCTGCAGGGACGCAACCCTATTCTTAGGATACCTGGAGTACCAAGCTCAGTTATAGTAAACCCTCTCCCTCCAACCAGTCTTCAAGATTTAGTGATCCAACCTCAACCTAGACACCCGTCCCATCCAATTTATAACCCTAAAGATGAATTGGAGAAGATAGGGTCGAACCCGGAGCCGGTTGAACCTATCTACCAAGAAATTAAACCAAGGACGGATAAGGATGAGAAGAGAGAAGTGGAGGAGGAGCAAGTGAGAAATAAACTAGAGGAAGTTTCGTCTCAGGGGAGAAAGAAAGAGATCGAATATTGGCAAATAACCGCCAAAGAAGTTGTAAAGTTTCGTCCCTGCACTGAAACTTTTATAAACCGATCCTAAATCAGAAATAATATATATAACTTATATATTCAAACCTTACTTAGTATCCCTGTCCCGAACCTGTACTTCAGAACCTGTACTTGTTAGAACCTATAATTTTGTAGATGAACTTAACCGGTACGTGTTAAAAATTAGTTCTGAATCTGACTTAAGAACATGTACTTGTAAATTGTACTCCTAAGTTCGTACTCCGGAACCAGCTACCTGAACCTGTATTCCTGAATCTGTACTACTGCACCGGTACTCCTGAACCAGTACTCCTGAACCTGTAATCCTGAACCTGTACTCCTGAACCTGTGCTCCTAAATCACTACTCCTAAACCTATAATTCCTGAATCGATTCTTCTAAACCAGTACTCCTAAAGCTGTACTTCTAAAGCTGTACTCCTAAACCTGTACTACTGAACCTGTACTTTGAAACATACCTATATATTCTCTGAGTACAGATCTTTTGGCTGTGAGCTTAATGAAATATTTATGAACGTGTCTAAAATTCATTAAAGAATGGTTCCTCATAGATTAATTTAGTTGAAAATAAATTATTATAAAAACTCCAGCTTTTCATTTCACCAGGTTCTTGTTCTAGCAAGGTTATGCTCGATAAAGTGNGAGGGGATACTGGATACAGGAGTGGGGGTATTGGATATAGTGATGTAGGGTGGTTCTGAATATAAGAATACAGGATACCGGATAAAGGAACACAAGGGGGATACTGGATATTTTTTCCTATTTAAGAAAACCCAATCAACTTAAAATCTCAAAACCAAAATAAGAACATTCCCGTGGGCCTCCCGAGTTCCCCCATCAAAATTTGAGGCAAATTGGTTCAGGTGTTCTTGAGTTATGATCGGAGAAAACAACCTGATGATTTAAACCTATGATATTTTAACTTCAGATTATTTGATCTCATAGATTTTATAATTTGAATTATCTAAGGTCTACAACTTTGGGTTGCAAAGATAAAGGAATTGGAAAATCAAAGTTTGTTGCAAAGAAAAAGGAATTGGAAAATCAGAGTTTGTTGCAAAGAAAAAGGAATTGGAAAATCAGAGTTTGTAGGTGGCAAAGCTTTACAAAATTGTCCAACACTTGACATAAAATTACCGTTTACGCCGGAAAGGTTAATCTGAATGAAATGCCATCTAATCTATGTATGTAGGTTACACAGGGGGGCAAATGTAAAATACTCTGAATGTATATAAGATATAACACATTTAAATAGAGATGAATGGATAACAGATATATTTTCTAATACTTGATTAGGGGTTTACTAGGAAATATTTAGATATAAAAAGAACTGTAAGCGAAAGTTTAATTGACCCTCAATGCAAAGAAGAATGTCCGATTCACAACGGTACCCTTAAAAGCTTTGATCAAGTATGAATTAGATAATTTTAAAAACTGATTATTTTCAATTGTGGTTTCTCTCAAAATTGTTACTTGAAATTACGCTTACAGGCTTACAAGTGTAACTTTGTACATAGAGGCTGTGGAGAAAAAAGCATATAAAACTTAAAGAATAAATACTGATTATATGGACTAAGGGTTCCAGAAGAAATTATAGTGGGGGGGGGGGGGGGGGTGGAAATCGTTAAAGTGCATATTAATTCACTAACCATCTTATGATTTTATTTTGAACTTAATAGATATTAATACGAGATCCTGGTTAGCTGGGTTGGGGGATGACCTTCATTCGGGCAAGGAAATGTTCAAGTACAATTTAATACAGTACTATTCTTTCTGTCGTTGGAGGCCTTATGCGCACGGTACAATTTTAAAAGAACCGGAGTTAAGTCCCCCCCCCTAGTTGAACCCATGAGGGAGGGGGGTTAAACAATATTTGGCAGATTAATTTACAAACTTGAAGTGGGATCTGGGTTCAATATTATTCTTTGATCTTAGTCTTTTCAAACTCAAGGATTCTATTATATCGATATTTATCTTGATGGATAAATAGATTGATAGATAGAGGGAGATAAAGGGAAATAGAATTGATGTAATTTGATCCTTATGAAATGAAAGATAGATAAAACAAAACATCAAATTGTTATTTTTATTTAAATATTTGCAGCAGAATAGTGGATAATCCTGTAATGTCTCTAATCCACTGGGCAAACTAAATACTTAAACTAAATCTATGAAATATATTGATTTCCTCAAAATTAGATAAAAATTCAACAATATTTATCATAAAAATTGCTAAACCCTGTTTTTTATAATTATCAAAATTTTAGATCTTGAAAAACACTTTTCTCTTAAAATGCAAAATTGAGAAAAATACTTTTTTTACTTATCATCCTTAGAAAGATATTTTAAAAATAAAACTTGGAGTTTAAAAATATTGTATTTTGAACCTTTTCTCTCTGTAAGGATATAGTTTCTCAGCCTTCATAAATATCCGGGGTTTATAACTTGGATATCTGGGGTTTTATAATTTCGCGTCCTCAACCCGGATATCTGGAGTTTTATATTATAGTGTCCTCAACCTGGATATCTGGTGTTATATTATATCGTGTCCTCAACCTGGATATCTGGGGTTATATTATATCGTGTCCTCAACCCGGATATCTGGGGTTATATTATATCGTGTCCTCAACCCGGATATCTGGGGGTTTATTATATCGTGTCCTCAACCTGAATATCTGGGGTTTTATTATATCGTGTCCTCAACCTGGATATCTGGGGTTATATCATATCGTGTCGTCAACCAAGATATCGGAAATCCATCCTTCACTTCAAACCAAACCAAGTTCTGGTCTCCAATACCTATTTTTATCATTTTAACATTTAATTTTTTTTAACTCTAAAATGCAAGCGAGCAACAAAAAAAATTTTTAAATTTTTCTTTTTCAAAATTTTAAACAACTGTCGAGTTTAGCATTCTACTTTTCTATAGATGGTTTCAATGTTCTATAGAATTAAAGAGACTGTAAGCGTAATTTTAAGTGACCCTACAAGCAAAGATACCAATGCCTGATTCACAACGGTACCCTTGAAAACTTTATCTGATCAATTAAACATTGTAAGATATTTTAGTTTTCCATGTTTCGAAATGTTAAATGTCAATTTTTTTCCTTGCTTGAGTCACTTTTGCAGAGAACTTACATTCGAAAATATTCAGTTTTCAACATTTTAAATATTGATTTCTAGTTCAAAATTGATCAGACACAGCTTTCACGGGTACCATTGTGAATCTGCAGGCATCACCATCATCTATTACTTTGTTAAATTACTTTTGGTTTTAAAATGTTTTAAAACTAAAAGGGGGAAAAATGTTAAACATGAAATTAATGTTAGTTGTATCGGAGTTCTGTATCGGTTTGGAATAGATTTCCAATGATGACAATTCACAAATTGAACATTAAATTTCAATTTAATATTCAAAATTTAACTTTTTTAAACATTTGCTTTCAATCATTTGGGAATAAAGTGCAATATTTGTGGTTAAAATTTCTTTTTACATTCAAAGATGTTTTTTTTTTGAAGTTTTGAATAGTATTCAAACGGGAAAAGGAAATTATTATTAAAAAGATGTGTAATAAATACACTTTAAAGGCTTTTAAATAAGAATTTGATAATTGGTAATTTTAGAATGTACCTATTTGTTCTATCCCCCCCCCCCTGCTGTGTAGGGATAAACAAGAGAGAGAGGGAGGGATACTCCGTAATCTAGGAAAACAGAATTTAGTGTAAAATGGATCTATATCACTTTAGCAGGAATGTCAATAGTAGGGTGCTAGAATGAGTTAACAAATCTGAAATGGACTAATCCCCCCCCCCCCCCCCCTTCACTACACCAAAATAACGAACCTAAGTGCTTTTACACAAATTGAACCACCTTTCAACCATTCCCTGTTCTGTGCAAATAAAATTATTATTTAATTTGATAAGAATTTGCAATAACCACGTGTTAAGAGACTCTAAATTCAAATTTTCTAAAAAGATTTAACAAGACTTTTAATTTGAAGAAGGACAGAAACCAGAGCCTGCGATTTAAAAACTTCGGCTCGAGCCGTAATCTATTAAAACCGACTTTAAGACCCGATCTGCGACCCAACTCTGACGACAGCTTGTGTCACGTGATTGACAGCTGCAAGATCTTTGGCTCGACTTATGGAGAAAAGTGATGTAGGTAAACTTTTTTTCCTGCCAGTTAGTCAGTTTGGAGACATTTGTGAACCTTGAGATTCAGAATACTTTCAAAAATAATTGTCTCCTGAAAACATATTACCCACAATATGAACAGATCCGTAGTAAAATAAATAAATAAAACTAATAATTTAAACAAATAATCGTTTTATGTTTTTGTTAAAAGATATATTTTTATAAATCTTGTTAATTTTGTTAATATTTTTCAAAAGTTTGAATTTATTGAATCTAGTGTTAGCACAGCTGGCTAGGGCAGATATATTAAAGCAATAAATTCTGGTATTCTTTTATTTTATATATTTACTCTGGTGGTGGTAGTATACATAATACCTTTATATATTTATATATTTACATAATATCATGTCAGAATTGAGATCTCTGGATGTTTAATGTTCATCTTCATGTCTTTATAGTTGTCTATACATATACTAGGCTGTTTATCTATATGCATATCTGTCTTTTTAGCTGTCTGTTAGATTTAGTCTAGATGTCTTCTTTTTGTCGATATGTTGTTCTTTCTGTCTATTTATTTAACTCTGAGTGTCTTTTTTTCTGTCTGTTTTCAACTGTTTTGTTGTCTATTAATCTGTCTATCTGTTTATAGCTGTCTTAATGTCTATTTATCTGTCTGTCTGTTTACAAATGTGTTTGTCTATTTCTGCGTCTGTATGTTTACAAATGTCTGTATATGCCTATTTCTCTGTGAGCTTCTTTGTTCTTTCTAATTTGCTCAAATCTATTTTGTTCTAGGATTGAATGGCAGCTATGTCTCCCCTGCAAACTAGTCGTTTTTCTCTCCCTCGCTCTAACTCCTTTCCTTGACTTCTTTTTCTCCCTTATTTTATTTCTTCCCTATATCTCTTCCACTTTCTTTCTCTCCCAATATCTTTTTTCTTACTTTCTTCTCTACCCTTCTTTAATTTTCTTCCACCTTTAATCTTTTTCTCTTCCTTATTTTTTTTCTTCCTCTTCTATTTTTTTCCCTCCACCTCTATTTTTGTTCTCCCTTAATCTTTCTTTGTTCCTTTTCCCTTTCTATTTCTTTCTCTCTATAAACACTTTCTGTTTTTTGGTCTATTTATATTTACCCGCATCCCTTAAACTTATTTTTCTCCTTTATTTTAGTTCTGTTCTCCGCTGCTAGCTTTTCCCTCAACTTGAAATCTTTTTTTCTTCCTCATTCTTTTTTCTTCCCTTCATCATTAACCACTTTTTTCTCTCCGTCTATGTTTCTTCCCCCCCCCCCATATCAAGCTTAAGTAATAATTATTTACACCCACTTTACAGGGAAGTTATGGGAATTTTACTTTACCAAGGGTTCCCTCGACCAATTTTAAGACAAAATTGATCGCGGTAAAGTGAAATTTTTAATTTCCCGAATAAAATAGTTGTACACATTTTTATCGTCTTTTGAGATGAAAATGCGCGAATTTTTTCCCAAAAACTTCGCAGAGCGGGTGGTTATTTTAACATAACATATGGGACGTTCAGTAACTTAACCTCCCTCTGTTGGGTAATCATGGGTCGGTAATATTGGTCAAGAGGAGGTAACATTAATTACATTTTGAAATTATTAATTTTTTTATGGAAAAAGTTTTGAAATCCTGACATGCTACCAAAAAAATAATTTCGATTAAAAACATATTGCTGGGGACATACAAATTTGTAAGATGTTCCTAATATTCTGTTTACAATTTTGAACGACTCGTTCAATACTGATAAGGATTTTTTCTCTAAGAGCTAGTGGATAATTCTAGTTTGTGATTATGTTTTGAAAAACCTGCTAATATGTTTTTTATTTACAGCAATAAATAATTTATCATTTTTAGTCTACAATAAATGATTAATTATTTTCTCCTATTATGGTATTTCTCATATTTCAATTAAAAAATTCATTTACTTCCATCCAGGTGCTTTATCCATGAGCAAATTCAATTAAAATTTTAGAGATTTTATGTTTAAAGAATATGTTTTTAGGGACTATGAAATCATTTTCATGAGATCCTTGTTTTTCTCTCTGAAAATTGTTGTTTCTCTTCAAAAGTGACTTGTGGATTCATTTAGCAGAAGTAGAGAAGGAAATCAAAATAAAAATTTCCGGTAGAAAGTACATTAATAGTCCTTTTTAAACATTAGAAATGTCACTTATTCTACTTTTGACTTTTAAACATTGAAAATGTCGCTTATTCTACTTTTGTACTTTTAAACATTGAAAATGTCCCTTATTCTACTTTTGACTTTTAATCATTGAAAATGTCGCTTATTCTACTTTTGTACTTTTAAACATTAAAAATGTCCCTTATTCTACTTTTGTACTTTTAAACATTAAAAATGTCCCTTATTCTACTTTTGTACTTTTGAACATTGAAAATGTCCCTTATTCTACTTTTGTACTTTTAAACATTGAAAATGTCACTTATTCTACTTTTGTACTTTTATACATTGAAAATGTCACTTATTCTACTTTTGTACTTTTAAACATTGAGAATGTCACTTATTCTACTTTTGTACTTTTAAAACATTGAAAATGTCACTTATTCTACTTTTGTACTTTTATACATTGAAAATGTCACTTATTCTACTTTTGTACTTTTAAACATTGAAAATGTCACTTATTCTACTTTTGTACTTTTAAACATTGAAAATGTCGCTTACTCTACTTTTGTACTTTGATGAGAAGGAAAATACTTAGAACCGATAATTTAAAAGTTGTATTGTTTATCGTGAAACAAGATGATTTTGATAAGATAGAGATATTAAGCAAATCATGAAAAATAATCAGTTTTAAACAAATAAATATTTTTCAATAGGTTAAATTGTAAATTGGTCCTAAACGGGAAAAAGTCTCTACTGAGAGAACCAGAAACCTCTAAAATATGAAGACGACAATTAGAATCAAGTTATAATGAGCATGAGACCGAGAAATTGTGCAGTGTTAACAGACCCATTACACTGAACATGTGATTCAATAAATGTTTAGTAAAACTTTTTACTTTGTAACAACATCAAATACACTTAATTATTATTGTAAAGTTTTCTGCCTCTTCCATTGTTTTCTGGTTATCAGTCACTATATATAGGATAATGAGAACAAATATTTCTGCTGGATATATTTGCAATCCTTAATCTATAGCTTGGGATGGAAAAATATTCATAAAGGAAAAATGTGAAAAGGTGAATATGTTTTAAACCAACATGATCTTAAAAAATAATCAAAACTTGGACTTTATAAAGTAATTGAGTCTTTGCCACAAACTCAAAATTTCGAATCCCTATATCTTAGCCAACTGATAGTGTACACTTTAGATATTTCAAACTTTAATTATTTGATCTAACAGAAGTGAAAGTTTGAAAAATAGAGGTTATAAAACCAGAGTTTGTGTCAAAAACTCGATTTCTTAGGAGTAATGATGGTCGCAAAGTACTTTGAGGTTTAAACTTTTGTTTAGGATATCGGTCAGGTTGAGCGACTGAATTTGATATCCATTTCAGCGACTGAACTGGATATCAAGCTCATCGACTGAACTTGATATCCAGCTCAGCGACTGAACTGGATATCAAGCTCATCGACTGAACTTGATATCCAGCTCAGCGACTGAACTGAATATCCTGCTCATCGACTGAACTTTATATCAAGCTCAGCAACTGAACTGGATATCCAGTTCAGCGACTGAACTGGATATCAAGCTCATCGACTGAACATGATATCCAGCTAAGCGACTGAACTTGATATCCAGCTCAGCGACTGAACTGGATATCCAGTTCAGCGACTGAACTCGATATCCAGTGGATATTGATAAATTGAGGTTTAACTCTTTAAATCGGTGAAGGTTGTCCATTCCTGGCACTATGAGGCGTCCTGTGTCAACGAGAGCCGGTTAAGGGTTGTAATCACAGATTTAAGATACAACAGTTTTACCTTCTGGATTCTTATAGTATAGCTTAGTGATCTGAGCTTATGTTAGTAAATATATAAATATACAAATATATAAATATATGCTCTGTTAATATATTATAGAGTAAACATGAACCTTGCTTTAATCCCATAGGGAAATATCATGCATAGTCAATCTTTAGTTGGATACATAGTAAATCTTTAGTTGGATACATAGTTAATCTTTAGTTGGATACATAGTTAATCTTTAGCTGGATACATAGTTAATCTTTAGCTGGATACATAGTTAATCTTTAGTTGAATACATAGTAAATCTTTAATTGAATACAGAGTTAATCTTTAGTTGGATACAAATTCATTCTCTGGTTTAGTCTCTTCCTAGTTCTCTGATTTAATCTCTTCCTAGTTCTCTGGTTTAATCTCTTCCTTTTTCTATGGTTTGTCCTCTTCTTAATTCTCTGACTTAGTCTCTTCCTAGTTCTCTGGATTAATCTGTTCCTAGTTCTCTGGTTTAATCTCTTCCTAGTTCTCTGGTTTGTCCTCTTCTTAGTTCGCTGGTTTAATCTCTTCCTAGTTCTCTGGTTGAATCTTTTCCTGATTCTCTGGTTAAATCTCTTCTTAGTTCCCTGGTTTAATCTTTTCCTAGTTTTCTGGTTTAATCTCTTCCTAGTTCCCTGGTTTAATCTCTTCCTAGTTCTCTGGTTTAATCTCTTCCTAGTTCTCTGGTTTAATCTCTTCCTAGTTCTCTGGTTTAATCTATTCTTAGTTCTCTGGTTTAATCTCTTCCTAGTTCTCTGCTTTAATCTATTCTTAGTTCTCTGGTTTAATCTCTTCATAGTTCTCTAGTTTAATCTTTTTTCAAATTCTCTGGTTTAATCTCTTCCTAGATCTCTGGATTAATCTCGTTCGAATTCCCTGGTTTAATCTCTTCCTAGTTCTCTGATGTAATCGTACTCAAATTTCCTGGTTGAATCTCTTCCTAGTTCTCTGGTTTAATCTCGTTCGAATTCCCCTAGTTTAATCTCTTTCAGATTCCCAGGTTTAATCTCTCCCTAATTCTCTGGTTTAATCTATTTCCAATTCCCTGGTTTAATGTCTTCCTAGATCTCTGGTTTAATCTCGTTCAAATTCACTAGTTTAATCTCTCCTAGTTCTCTGGTTTAATCTCATTCACGTTTCCTGGTTTAATCTCTTCCTAGTTCTCTAATTTAATCTCTTCCTAGTTCTCTGGTGTAATCTCACTCAAATTCCCAGGTTTAATCTCTTTCTAGTTCTCTAGTTTAATCTCGTTCAATTTCCCTAGTTTAATCTCTTTCTAGTCCTTTAGTTTAATCTCGTTCAATTTCCCTAGTTTAATCTCTCCTAGCTCTCTGGTTTAATCTCGTTAAAATTCACTAGTTTAATCTATTCCTAGATCTCTAGTTAAATCTCATCCAAGTTTCCTGGTTTAATCTCCGGGTTATCAATATAGTTTAATCTCTTCCTGCACAACTAGTGAGGTATTCTCCTCTAAAGAAATTTGATAATTAAATTCCTGGATTTCCATCCAGCACATTTTTCATCCTTTTCAGTTCAAACCTTTATTCTCTAGGTCCTGGTTCTCCTGGTTCTTCTTCTTTCATAATTCTAATTCATTCCAATATTTTTATTTTTAATGAATTCAAACCACTTCGCTGAACTACCTTCTGCTGGTTCAAATTTAAACTACTAAAGTTAAAGATTAAGGAATTCTAATTTGAAACCGGCGGCGCAGGGGTAGGCAGTTCAATTGTAGGAACAAGAGGCCGAATTTAAAGAATTTGTGTCTCGGCTTAATTTTGAGACGCGGCTCAAATATGGTTGATTCCACTTAAAATTGTATTTGATGTTTTAAGATGTAAGCCGGCGCTCAATTGAACCCGATTTTTGGCGGCTCAAATTTATTGAATTCAGACACAGGTTTGCTAGTTTTTACATGGTTGAGTTCCCAAGTGCCAATCTATCCTAAGTAGATTCTCCCCGAAATTGTTTGCTGATTTATAAAAGTCCGGAGGCCGAATTTAAAGAATTTGAGCGGAGGCTTAAATCTAAGCCGCTGCTAAAATCTGGTTGATTTCACTTAAAATTGTATTCAATGTTTCAAGATTTAAGCCGGCGCTCAATTGAAACCGGTTTTTGGCGGATTTTAGACGCGGCTCAAACTCATTAAATTCGGACACGGGCCGAAGTTTAGGTTTTAAGTCCGAGCGCACAACAATACAATATCTTTACTTTTCCAGAGCCTTCCCTCATAATGTAATAGTTCTAACCTTGATGGGGATCTGGGACCAAATTTAAAGAATCGGGAGAGGTATTTTGACTACGTAACATAAGTTGAACCACTGCTCTTGAATTTGAACTGGAACAGCAGTGGTTCAACTTAGTCTAAAGGAATTGATTTTTTGCCACAAACTCTAATTTTCTAATCTCGATATCTTTGCAACTTAATGTTGTAGACCTTAAATATTTAAAACCATGAATTCTGTTGGATCTAATAGTCTAAGTTTTAAATATCAAAGGTTTACACCATCAGGTTTCAAAGCTATATAAATCAGAAAAATTGAGTTTGTGTCAAAGACTTAATTCCTTTAAAGAATATAGAGAGGTAGTTGAATTACATAGAATAAGTTGAACCAAATTTCTTGAACTTGAAACAGTACAGAAGTGGTTTAACTTAGTCTAAATTTGGACCCTGAAAAGGTTCAAGTCTAAAACTATCCAGAACAGCAAAATTATCTAATACCTTCTTCAGATATTATTTTCTATTTGATCTTTCTTCTCTTTACCGCTCTACATTGTATCCTGTCTCTTGGTGTTCTATTATCAAGTTTAATCTCTAGTATCTATTCTACTCTCTACTCTTGAGTTTGGACAAATAGTAAAATATTTATAATTAGGATTTTAGAAGATTTCTATCTTGGATTAGGTTTAATCTCTCACCAGTCTCTACCCTTCTTAAACACCCGTTGTTGTACCTCTCCTACCCTAAGTAACTCAGTGGGGGCTGAGAGGGCCGGGGGGNAATAGGAAGGTGGGAAGGACGCATGGGTTCAGGTAGTGTAAGGGACGGGAAGGAGCGTGGTTTTGTAAATGTTTTGGAAGGTAAACTAAAGTTTCCTAAAAATACCAAATATTTTTAATAATAATTCGTGATCAGTTCTATAAAGAGACTGAAAATGTAATAGCGAGAGATAAAGAGAAAACATGGATATCTCAGTCATTCTTGAGCTGGCAAAGGTTTAATAAGTAGCGTTTTGAATTATACATTCCAATCTATAAACTAGGGGTTAATTGAAATTACCTCTACTGTCTGTTTAAAGAATGGTAGTTTTACCTAATTCTGAATGATCCCTTCTAATGATCTAAACTCTTGGAACTTGAAATATCATTTAGAAACCAGGTGGAGAAGGGTTCAAGTCTAATCTTTATCTCAGATTCTCTCTCTGGGACATTTCGTGAGAGAGGGATGAATAATTTGTAGAGAATTGATCTTGTATCCAACCCTCTCTCTCACAAACCCAGGGACGGAACTTTCAATTGAAGATTAGAAGATTTCTATCAGGGTCGGAGGGATGAATAATTATAAAATTTCGAGGAATGGGATTAGGCGGGAGATTAAGCCGGTACAAAGCAATCTTCAATTTGTAATCCAGGTTCTCCAATCATTTAATCCTGGTTACAATGGAGTATACACAAGAAGATCTAAAAATATCAACAAAAGGACGGGTTGTATTCTCAGATAGACAACAATAGTTATCCTTAACCCTTTCTGTCTAACCCTGGAGATATATTTATCATCTTTGGCCAGACCTGACGCGGTTTTAACATTTTTTTTGCGTAGATATTTAAAACTGTGAATTCTGATTAGTCAAATAATCTAAGTTTAAAATATCAAATATTTACAGTATAAGGTTGCAAAGACATGAAGATCATGAAGATTAAAAAATTGAAGAAGCAAAGACTCAATTCCTGTAATGAGAAAAGAGATTCGGTTTGATTGAACTTATAGTTCTGATTTTTCAATCATCTCTCATTCTATCTTTTAAAAACTTATTTTCCAAAGTAGGCAATATATGAACATTCTAAAATCATAACTTACAAAAAAATGCATTTG